GAGAGTGTTCTTCTGAAATGAAAGCCGGGTTGCTTGGGGATAGATTCGAATCAGTGATATAACTTGAAGTGATGCCAGCAGCCCCATTCTCTCACGGTGTATGATGCGGTGGAGGGAAGTGCGGGTGCAGGAGGAGGCAGAGGAATGCACTGGCTTGGAATTAGCCAAATCTGGAAGTAAGCCAGGATCCATCACGCAACATGTGGCTAATCTGTGTTGTCAATCACCATCTACCAGTCCAGAGCTCCCAGATCAAGATCTTTGGGGTTGGCATGCTGGAGTAAACAGTAGCGAAGCTGACAAGGTAAAGACTATGCTAAATTAATAAGAAGATACCTTAGTATTTTTAAACCAAAGTTATTTTGGAATCGTGGAAAACGTTCAGGGAGAGAATCAGCTCTTCAAAGCAGATTCCTTGTAGTTATGTCTGATTTTCCCAGGGTCCCTTGTAATACCCCCTTGTAAGCTGTATTTTGTAAATTTTGAGGGTTCCTTTAGGTTAAAAGGATATTGTTTAGGTAGTTTTGTGTGTATATTTAAACGTGAATATATATGAATAAATATGTATTTCCCCCATCTATTTCTATGAAAGTTTGAAATATTTTTACAGAAAGAATCAGAAACATCAGAAATCAAATGAGAGATAATTTACCAAAAACCACAACTGATGTATTATTTTTAGGGGAATCCTTGATTCTCTCTGCGGTCGCCCATCACCTCCCCCTCCCCGTGCCCAGGCTGGGTGAGATACTCTTTTTCTGAGGGCTCAGAATTTCCTGTGTATATCTCAGCCATAGAAATGGCCACTCGTAAATTCAATATCTGCCCAGGGCTTTCTGGAAAGCTGACTCTATGTCCTTGAGCTCAGAATTACCAGCACTTCGCATGATGCCTGACATGTAATAGGGGCTCCATCTGTGTTTATTGAATACATGAAATGACTGAGTGAGTTTAAGATTTATATCTGGTTCTAAACTTCCTGTTAACCAAAGCAAAAAGAAAAATATATTGGTTATACAGTTCTCATGCATATAAAATTAAACAGTATTATTTCAGATCCATTTTTTTTCTTGGTGTTAAGTTCTTGAAAGCATCTGATGGAACATAATATCAAGACAGTGAGTTTTAAGAAATGTTATTTTCAGTACCTAATAAGCTACTCTTACCCTGGGCTAAATGAGAGAATGTGGCTTTTCCTAGAGCCTTGCAGCTGGAGGCAACTCCAGCACCTGGAGATCTGGGTCTTCATCAGCTTCTTAGCAGATTCTTTATTAGAACATCACTTTCTCAGATGGCAATGGGTCCATGAGACAGAGTGTTTATGCTACTGGATTTTATCTTCATGATTGCAACTATCTAATAGTTATTGTACTGAAAGATTTTATTGTGCTTGCAGGCTGAGGCATTAAGTGAAGTGTGTGAAGTAAGGGAAAACATTAATAGAAAACAAGGTGTGAGGATGCTGCAGTCACTGTAGGATTCCGCAGTCACTGTAGGATTCCAGCACACCCTAGCAGGGTGTTGGTCCTCCAAATTCTTCAGAAAAATTTGTCTTTGTTGACCTGTGAAGGCTTTATGAGAAAAGAATTATTTGTGGGAACAAATGTGGATTTAAGAATACAGGTGAGAATAAGTTAATGGATATCTTCTTAATTAAAAAAAAATATATATATATTTTTAATTTTATTATTGTTTAAAATATTACAGATGTCCCTTTTTTTCCCCAATGACCCATTCCACCCCGTTTCTTCCCCCTCCCCGATCCTTCTCCCCACCATTGTCCATGTCCTTGGGTTGTGTATATATGCACATAAATTCTTTGGTTACTCTCTCCCCCTCCACCCACCCGCCCTCCTCCATCCCTCTGACATTCATCAGTCTCATCTATGCTTCCATGTCATTGAATCTATTCTGTTCATCAGTTTATTAAGTCCTTTAGATTCCACGTATAAGCAAGATCATGTGATATTTGTCTTTCGCTGCCTGGCTTATTTCACTTAGCATAATATTCTACAGGTCCATCCATACTGTCCCAAAGGGTATGAGATCTTTCTTCTTTACAGCTGTGTAGTATTCC